CCGTGCTCCGGGCTGGCGTCGCGCGCGGCGCTCTCGAGCTGCTGCAGCAGCTGGACGCGCGCGGCCCGCAGGTGCCCGTCCAGCACCGTGACCGTGGCCTGCGCTTCCAGCCCCAGCAGCACCTTCCTGAAGGGTGAAAAGAGAGGAAAAATACAGAGGGGCACCTTTTCCCAGGAAAAGCAGCCTGGCGGTGCCACTCGCCTTGGCGTGCTTGCGCGCTCACTTGCAACCTTCCAGCAGGTCGCGGAGCAGCCGCTTCCCAGCCTCATCCCAGTCTGCATCGTGGGCTCGGAGGCGGCGCAGGGATGCCAGGTTGTGCTCCTGCCAGTGGGCATGAGGCTGGATGGCACTCGGGCTTGGGAACATGCAGCAGATCCCCCCGCAGTGTCCCCATGCCCCTCGCACCAGGCGGTCGTGCACGGCCTGCAGAGCGTTGAGTACGTCCCAGCGGTGGCTCATGTCCTCCCAGGACGAGGTGAGGGCCACCACGGGCTTGGTGTCAAACCAGGGCAGGTAGTAGTAGCGGTTGCCTGCTTGGGAGAGCAGGAACGTGGAGCAGGGAGAGCATCCCTTTTCCCAAGTCCTGGGAAGCATCCCTTCGCCACATTCTGGTGGACACCCCTTTTTCTGTGCCATGGGAAGCACCCCTTCTCCTATATCCCATCCTTTTTTTCCCATACCACAGCAATTATTGCTTTTCCTGTATCCTTGTGAACAGCCCTTTTCCACCATCCTGGCGAGCATCCCTTTCCCTATAGCATGGCAAACATCCCTTCAGCCCCAGCAAGCATCACTTTTCCAGCATCTCTCTCCCCTCCTCCCAGTGAGCATCCCCTTTCCTGCACCGTGGTGGGCATCTCTTTTCATGGACTATGGCAAGCAACCCTTTTCCTATATCCCAGTGAGCATTCCTTTTCCTGCATCCCATTTAATTTCCTTTTTCCCACACTGAATGAGCATTTCTTTTCCAGAATCCCTTTTATTGCACCACAGCAAGCATCCCTTCTCCCGGCCGACGATGAGCATCCCTTTCCCTTCATCCCAGCGAGCAACCCTTCTCCGGTGCCATCCTGGCACCACTCACCGTCATAGATGGGCCGGCCGTGCTGCGTGGCCGTGGTGGCTGCCTTGCACGAGCCCTCGGCCCGGTTGCCGTAGTGGCCCACGCTGACCTCGACCTGCAGCAGCTCGTCCCAGTGCGGCAGCATCGTGGCCGAGGAAAACACGGCGCAGAGCCCGGCTGTGCGGCGCCGCAGGAAGCGCTGCTGGCGGCTGTCACGGGATGCGGCCAAGGGCATCGCCAGGGACATCCCTCATCTGCCCCCCAGCCCCGATACCTCCAGGCGGGCGCGCTCCCGCGCTGCCACCACGTCCCTCTCCCGCTCGCCCGGGCTCTCCGTGCTGGTGCTGAGCTCCAGCAGGATGCGGCCGCGGTACGTCGCGCCGCGCTTGGGCTGCAGAGGCGCAGAGCGGCCAGAGCGCGTGTGCCCCCGGCATGTCCCGTGATGCTTGCCCTCATCTCGGCATCCCGGCATCCCAGCATCCCAGCATCCCGGTATACCGGCACCCCAGCATCCCCGTATACCAGCACCCCGGCATCCCCGTATCCTGGCATCCAGCATCCTGGTATCCCAGAATCTCAGCATCTTAGAATCCCAGTATCCTGACATCCCAGCATCCTGGTATCCCAGTATTCCAACGTATCCCAGTATCCTGGTATCCCAGCATCCTGGTAACCTGGTATCCCAGCACCCTGCCATCCCAGCAG